GGCTTTGGCACCCTTTGCCTGAGGCCATGAGGCTCCGGCTTTGATCCTCCTGCCCAGGGTGGCAGAGCTTAGGTTTTGGCCCTCCCGCCTGGGGCAGCAGGAGTTAGGCTCAGGCTTTGGTGTCCCCTCTTGGGGTCATTGTAATTTTGTGTTGTCAGAAGGGGAACACACTTCAATAAAGTTTGAGAATCCCCATTCGAGATAATATTTAGTCATATCTTGAAAAAAGGAGGGGGACTGGATTAAGTGACCTCTCGAGTTCCCTTCTAGTTCTCTGAATTGTCTCCCACTATGACATCACCCAATAGGCTAGTAATTTCACCAGGTTTGGATAATCTGTGTTGCAATCCTCAGTCCACCAAAACCAACAACCAGAGGTAGGAAGTCACTTAATGTGTAATGGACATGAGCAAGCACTTGAACAAACAACAGTGATTAACTTTTCTGTAACTGTTCTTTGCAATGTGTTGCTTATGTCTATTCCATGACCCATCGTCCTGCCCCTCTCTCTAAGCTGGCAAGAAGAAACTGAGAGGGCCGGTCATGCTGATTATACCAATGCATACATGCATGGCAGCACAGTGCTAGAGCCAGCCCAACGTATACCACCGAGGGGAAAAATTCCTGCAATTTTACATGTAGCACATGCATGCACCTAATGTGAAATCAACATGAGCAGCATATCTTGAAGAACAATCATCATGAAAGTTTAGTAACCATTTCCCCCCTCATTTATATGGTTTATTTTTATTCTTCTTCGAGAGATGTCCCTGTGGATAGTCCACTCCTAGTGTAGGGAGTGTTCATGTGCCTCGATCAGAGAGTTTCATAGTCACCGTATGGGTTGCACATGCGCAGTGCCTGCCTCATGAACCATTGTCTGCTGAAGTACCGTGTGTCCAGGCCAGACCTCTCAGTTCTTTTGCAACCATTCCCAGCCTGAGCTAGAACTCCCCAGTCATCTAATAGGAAAACAAGAAAAATAGTTTAATTTAGTTTAGTTCTCTACAGTAGTGTAGTTCATAGTTATAGTTAATAGTTCTGCTTAAAAAAAGTTTTTTTTTCAATCAGCCATCTTCACTGTGCTTGGCTCACTGGGCTTTCAGTGCTGTTCCTCCTGTAGAGATGCAATGCCAGTCTCTGATGGACACTCACAATGTGTCTGCTACCTTGGGGGGAGACACATACCCCCAAAGTGTCCCCACTGCAACAAACTCAGAGTCAGTGCCCAAAGACAGACTAACCTCAGATCCCGGCTCCTTCGCTGCCTCAGTCCTTGCAAACTAAATTATATTCTAAAGAGAGACCTTCTTTGTTATCTCATGGGGAACAAACCACAAAAAAAGATCACTGATCAAATGATGAAGGCACCTTGCCTCAGCACATACTATGCTCCGGGCACCTCTGGCACTAGCCATAAGGCAGCCGGCACCCACTGTTCTGACACCAAAGGTAGCAGCTTGAAGATGCCTGCCTTCACTTTGGCTTCGGCAGTGTTGCTAATGAAATCAATACTGGTCTTCATCCCAGCATTGTCCTCTAAACCTGGCACCAAATCTGTCTCAGCCTATGGTTCCGGTTCAGTAAACAACACTGATCACCTCAGAACCTTTACCACCAGCACCACGATCATTCTTACTACATGGTGATCTGGTGGTAGTCTCCATGCCTCAATCTCCATTGCCCTGTGAATCTCTGCACCACACTATATATCCCCAGCAGTGTTGCAGATTTCCAGCAACAAGAAGGATAGGGAGGAGGATGCATTTTCTTCTCTCTGTTCCTCACTAGAAGACATCTCTCCCCACCAAGAACCAGATCTTGATCTTCTTATGACCACATGGTACAGGTACCCATGGATGCCACTTACCCATGTCTTACCCAGGACATTGGCCTTGTTGGAGCCCTTGTGGGGTTCTATAAAAGATACCATAGCAGGCATGTGAGCCCGTAGAGGGAGCCATCCAAATCACCCCCACAAATGCTTACAGAGCATATCATCCAAGAACCTATGGAAGAGTTCACGGAGGACCCAGCCCCTGACACATCACCACTAACCAATACCTTGTCTTCGCTGGACAAGGCCATAATGTCCCCATCTCCAGCAGACGACTTCTACTTGCAAGACCTCTTCAAAAGGGTAGCTGCAGAACTTAAAATAGCCCTCAAAGATCTGTCTGAAACTCAGCATGAGTTGACAGACATTCTGCAAACTTCTTCCTCTTCTAAGATAGCGCTTCCCATCAACCTTCCTATCATAGACCCTGCTAAAACTGCGTGGCAGACACCAGAGTCCATCCTACCTACCTGCAAAAGGGCCAATTACAAATATTATGTATCATCGAAGGGGTCTGAATTTCTATTCACCCATCCAGCTCCAAACTCACTGGTAGTGGAAGCAGCCCACCAATGTGGCAAGCAGCAGCAGCACTTCAGATCAGTGCCTAAAGACAGGGTCAGTAAAAGATTAGACCAATTTGGGTGGAAAGTCTACACTGCTTCTACCCTTCAATTCATTCCAATTATTCCATTTTACTGGCAAAGTATGATCATAAGAACTATACCAAGTTCCTTGATTTTTGTTGCTGACATTCTGGAGGTTAAAAGACCTCAGTTTAGAGCCCTAGTTGCCGATGACAAAACCATTGCCCACATAGCTCTGCAGGCTTCACTGGACACAACTGACACTTCTGCATGATCCACAGTAATGGCTGTCATCATGTATAGGGTTTCCAGGTTCACTGCCACCACATTTCCCCAAAATGACCAGCAATATTGTTTGTATGTTTTACATAAATAAAGGGGAGCCAGATTCCAGTCATTCTGCACCAAGATCATAAAACTCCGGAGCTTTTGCATTCATCACAACATGCCATCTCTGCTGCACACATTTCGGTCTCCCAAACACTACCTGAGACAAATTGAGTAGACATTTTCTCCAACACCAGAAGTAGGAGCTAACACACAGTACCACACCAAATATTCTACGTGAGGGACCAACCCATCATGAACCTCTTCGCTGTACCCCACAATGCTAAGTGCAGCCTCTTTGTTCTCCAGAGTGGTCACAAGAAAAAAGGCAGAAGGGAATGCATTTCTTATGAGTTGGATAGATCTCCTCTATGTCTTCCCACCAATCCCTCTCCCCTTCAGTCATACAAAAAATCTGGACAAACAGGGCAAAAGTCAACTTAATAGTCCCTTATGGCCAAGACAACCCTGATATGCCTTCATAACCTGCATGTTAGTCCTCCACCTAATCCCTCTTCCTAAAACAAACACACAAGTGGGCAGAGGAGTCCTATCCACTACATTTCAACACACGCTGAAGCCCCTACCTTCTGAAAGGACACTGCTGTATAGTCTCTAGGAGTGGTGCACCCACAAAGACATCTCTCAAAGAAGAAGGGAAGATTACTCACCTTGTTCAGTAACTGGAGTTCTTTGAGAGAAGAGTCTCTATAGATGGTCCACTATCCACCCTCCTCCCCTCTGCTTAGGAGCTAACAGACTCTGATGTAGAGAAGGAACTGAGGGTCATGCATGCGCTACTTCAACGGACAACGGTGTGCAAGCAAGTAAAGTGGTGTGCTATAAAATGGTGTGCTATAAAACTCTCCGGTCGAAGATGCAGGGCCACACCTACACCAGGAGTGGGACAGGAGCATTCATCTTGAAGAAGTCCAGTTACTGCAGAAGGTGAGTAACCTTCCCTTTTCCAAGGTGAAAGAGTTTAAAAAAGTAAAAAGAAGTAAAGTAGGAAGTTTATTTCTGGTTCTATTGCAAGCAATACAGAGTGTGATTAAACCAGTTTTAATTGGACACCTTTTTTTTTTGAAAGCCCCTGTTTTATAAAACAAACATTTTAATTTAAGATTACTTCAGTGTCCTTTAAGAACACGTGATAAGTCAGTGCAATTCATTTTAAACTGTTTACAAGAAAATCAAAATGTAATCTAAAATTCAGTCCAATTCAGGAGCACAAACCAAAAGGAAGGATTTTTCTCTTCATCTTTAAGTCATAACTTAACTTGTATATTAAAAGGGGTTATAAAATTTCCAAATTTGCCTAGTAAAGTTATTTTCATCTAAAATGTCAAGTCTAAACTTAGTGATATTAGACGTAAATGGATAAACAGATTAAAAGTTTTACTTCCCGTGAGCAACTACCATAAAAAATGATGCCCAATTTAATTATGGGCCTGATCCTACACATGCATAACTTTTGTACTCAAGTAGTCTTGGTAAATTGCCAACTTAAGAATTCACATAATAAAATAACCTGCAAATTAAAAAAAAACTGGTAGAGGCTCTATCTGCTCACTTTTGAATCCCATCTACCCATGCCATTCACCAGTGTGACAATTACATATTGAAAATTAATATTAAATACATATACCCTGCATCTGTTCCCTCTGCACCTTGTTCATGAATCCCACCTTTCCTGTCCTAAATCCTCCTGACTGCCATTGCACTTGTTTGCCACTAATACACTCCAGCTGCTCCCTCTCCAGTCCCCAGGGGAAGAGCTTCTCCTCAGTGTCTACTTCCATTCACTGTACCGTAGCAAGGAAAGCTGGAAGTGGGATTACTATAAATGGCTGGGAGTGAGTCCATAGTGCTATACCTCCTCTGAATGTACAGAGGATGCCACCATTGTCACTTGTGGCTCTAGCAGCCAAAGGGGAAATCTGCAGATAGATCAGATAAAAAGCTTCCTCTGGTTATGGTGACAGGTGTAATGACAAAAATTGGTCCACAATCATGACCCTTGTGAATGCTGGTACCACTGCATTGGTTCCTCGAGACTGTTAGGGTGTAATACACAAATGTTTGCAGTACAGTGGCCTCTATGTTTCTTTTAAGAATGGTAAGCTTACCACTTTACTTGCTTCACAGAGTGATACTACACAGTGTTATAGAAGCCTGTCATCTGTCTTATTCTGAAAACGAGTGATATGTATGGCTAATTGGAGACTAAATGTTTTCCCCCCCTGCAGGTATTGTTCCACGGTTGATTAAAGTTGCTCCTGCTTGTGCCATAATGATCAGCACATATGAATATGGGAAATCCTTCTTTCGTAAATTAAACAAACAAAAAAACCACAAAGATAAAAATTCTCACTCAAGCTAAGATTGCAGCTACAGACAAGGTATCTGGCCAAGATTGTGTCAACTTAGACTGTTGTCTACAATTAAAGTATTCCAGAGTTACTGCGTAAAAGTCAGCCATGACATTTGCTAACCAGGTGCAAATCCCTTTGCTTAGCACTTCCTCAAGGCTGATTATGCACCTTTATTCAAAAAAGTATAAGAGTACTATATGCTATGTAAATTCCTAGAACCATTGTTTAAAATTTCATGTGAATTTTCTCTTTACAGACCATGCTCCTAGGAAGCAAATTGATAGTTTTGTAATCATCTTCAGAAATGAATAAAAAAACCCTTTAAGATTGGTCAGAAAACATGAACTAGTATTTACCACCTGTATTAAAGAAAAACATTTTCTGTGGAAAATGAGACTGATATGGAACATGATCATTTTTGACAATGTATGTTAATATTTCTCTAAATTGACTTTTAGAATGTATTTATGCTCTGATAATCCTTTAGGATTTGTGTTCAGAAAAATAGACAATATGTAAGTAGACATGGAAATTCTTTCATGAATGCTCAATCATGTTTAAATATTTGCCCCTTCAAAAATGGTTGTCTTATGTCTTTGTTAATTGCAAGTTAGGTTAAGTATTTCATCAGTGTTTCAGTGAAACTGAAGGTAGAAAGGGGCACCACCAAATAGCCTTGAAACAGAACCCTAAAAACCAATTACATTTGGCCTAATATATATGCAGTTTGAATATGATACATATATTATGCTATAGATCAGCAATCCAATAGTTAGGAATCCTGTAACATTCACTGTTCTTGAATTGATTAGAAACTTTACTCTACACAGCCTTGAGTTAAATGAATAATCAGCATTAAGTTGTTTGCCATGTAACCCTCTGCATATTTTTCACTTTGATTCTCTTGCCATGTAACTTGGAATTTCAAAGTGAAACAGTTTGGATTCCACTGCAGAGCCATGTGTTAAGCTGATTATCTGGTTAGTTGTTTATAAATGCTGGAAATCAAATTTCCCATTTAGAGCTTGATCCTAGTTTTTTGCACATCTAAAATCTCCAGAGGGAAGCTTTGTGATGTACAAAGCAAGGTATGATGGAGCCTGCAGCAGTGTAAAATGTGCTACCTATGTTATGTGCAATCCTATGACTAGTTTTTTTTAAAGTACAGTGGCTATCCTGCAAAAGAATTCTAAATAATAAAATATCTTGGATAACTTTTGGGTGCGTGCAAGAGGCATGATGAAAGCTTTCACAAGCTAACGTCATTTCCATAGCATCCAAGGACCACAACCTGTTTCTTTAAGAATTTGCATTTAAGGTTTTGGGGGAAGAGGAAAGGTTAAACTTTGTGTTGGGCTCATCTTTATCACCTAAAACTTAAAATATGTATGTAATCTACAATTCTTAGGAAGTCAGATAGAAATCACCATTCATTTGCAGTTCTTCAGGTTTTTATCCTTTCATTAATTTTTAACTGCCATTTGTTCCCACTGATCACATTGTGCGCTTTGTTGCTATATTTTTTGAACACTGCTAGTATAGTGACTAGATGTTGCCTTTCTTACTTGTGGAGTTGACTAAACTGAGAGAGTACCCACTGAAAGTTATGAAGCCATAGAAAAAGAGCTTTTTTCCCTTGTGGGGAAAAAAGAGTCTTGCACCATTATTTTGTAGCCATAAAAGATGAGGATTAAGAACCCCACAGGTTTAAAAGCTCCCTGTATTTCTGAAGCTGAAAAAAGGATGTAGAATAAAGAATGGTGTGAGGAGGCAGGAAAATAAATTCTAATTCAAGTGAGCCATAAAGAATTTTCTCTCAGGATAGTTTACACTTTAATGATACAAAAAAAAAGCACTTTATGAAAAATACATACATCCCAGTAAAAATATGGAACATTCAAATATTTTCTAAATGGAGATAAACAATGCAATACATGTTTAATCAGCATTTAAATTAGTTCATATACTAGCCACTGATGGGACAAAATGTTAATATTTAATAAAATCAAATGTTTTCTTGTTTTGTGATCTTGAGTACACATGAATTATTTAGTTTCTGATCATAGGAAGTTTAAACTCTTATTCAGGAACATTTATTTCATTACGTTGATTGTGGTTTAATAGATACTTCTTGATTTTAATTGCTTGTATTTTGTAATCTCAGCTCTGTTCTGGCTAAAGCAGGGGTAAGCAATAATTTTTGCCCAGAGGACACTTCAAAAATTTTTGAAGTAGCCCTGGGTCACCCGGGAATGGGCGGGGCTACCCCACCCCAGACCTCCTCTGCTCTCCGCCCCTCCCCCCTGCCCTGCAAGCAGCATGCAGCACTTCAAAGCACCGTGTGCTCCTGGCAGGGCAGGATGAGGCTTTTTGTGCTCCTCTGCCCCCAGGCCAATTAGGGCCTGGGGCAGGGGAGCAGCAGGGCCTCCGTGGGCTGGATCCACCCGCTTCGTGGGCTGAATCCGGCCTGCAGAGGCCCTTTTGCCCACCCCTTGTCTAAAGCCTGGTTTTAGAAGCTGCCTTACAAGGCATGCAAGTCAGCTTCTAAGATCTGGCTTTGCGCCTTTCCACTTGGGCTATGTAAAAGGAAGAATGGTAAATTTGAAATACAGAAAACACTAAAGCTGACCCACTGCACAAAGTAGGATGGATAAATTGAAAATGAATGACAGTTGCTGAGATAGTGACATAAAGCAGTCATAGTAGAATCAGATCAGTGGTGCCTCTAGCGCAGCATCCTGTCTTCTGAGGGTGGCCAATGCCAGGTTTTTCAGAGAGAATGAACAGAACATTAAATGATACATCCTCTATTACCCATTGCTAGCTTCTGGCAAACAGCAGCTAGCGACACTTCAAAGCATGATTTGGTATCTTTACTTACCCTAGCTAATGGACTAATACTCCATGAGCTTATCTAGTTCTTCTTTGAACCTTATTATGGTCTTTGCCAGAGGATGTTATGAGGGTCCAGAATTCCACAAGTTGACTAAGTGTTGCTTAATGTCGCTACGCTGATTATTTTCAGGAATAACAGCATTGTGCAAGAGGGTTTTTCTTGCACAAGAAGGGACAGCGTAGATAGCTCCTTCTAGCGCAAGAGCCTCTTCTGCAAAAATGGCATCTCGTTAGGTATGCAAATGAGGCTCGGCGATATTCACAAACGCTTAGCCACATTTGCATATCTCTGGAGCAACAACCCGCCAGTGTAGACATAGCCAATGATTCCAAGATCTCCTGCTTGAGTGGTAACAGCTCATTGCGACCCTGATGATTTCATATGTATAGTCAGGATGTTTTCTAATGTGGATTACTTTGCATTCATCAATATTGACTTAGTTGGTCCTTCTGATCTAGTTGGTTTTAGTAATGTATTGAAAAAAAGGGGAAGGGTAAGATCATAAATAAAACAGCCATTTACTTCATTTTAACAGGCCTATGCTTTTTCAGTAGTTTAATAAGCTCTTATTGTTGAGTCAACAGTCTATGCAGGAGTCATGGGGGGAAATGGAGTAACAATGGCTTGCACCTCAAAAGGTGACTTGAGTCATAGTCTTTATGACCTGTCTTCTGCCATTACATTCTTCTTGGGTAAAACAGGTAACTCAGCCCCTCAGAATTAACTCTGGATGTGCTTGACTCAAGCAGTATGTTACCCACTGGAGAATACTCCAAAATGGAGAAGAAATATAAGCATGACAGTTGTGCAAGTACACAGAAGGAAAGATGAGGGCCTTCCACAACAATTAGAATGGCAAAGGATTTTTAGCAAAAAAGGTTAGAAATCCACTTGTTAAATATTTATTACTAGAACATTTACTCAGCTTTGCTCAGGTCTTTAACTGAAATAATTTTTGGTTTTCCTTTATTTAAATAATTGATCCGGGCTGAGGATGAGTAGTTCAATAAGCAGGATGTCGTAGAGAGAGAGGATTACCCAAGGTCCTCTCTCGCCACAGCGTGGGGGCCATATGAGAAGCACTTCTTTGTGGCTGCTGCAGCTTCAGCAGGCACAACCGAGCGGGAGGGGGTGGGGGAGGAGCAGGTGCATGTCCCTCAGCTATTGCAGGTCTAGGTTCATCTGCTCCCTGAAGCACCTCTCCTCTCCCTCCCCCAATTTGTGCAGGAAGTTGCTGACTGTTCCCCTTTGTCAGGGAGCTGCCAACTTCAGTTCTAGTTTTCTCTCTCTCTCTCTCTCTCACACACACACACACACACACACACACACACACACACACACACACACACACACCTCTGAAACGGCACCCAGGGCAGTGGAAGGTTCAGCGATGGGGCAGTCCCAGATGCCCCCCTTTCATGTGCCTGGTGATTCTCTCTCTTCTGTATGGTTTCATCAACCACAATCCCATTTTCCTAGCACAACCAAAACCCTTACCCTGCTTTGTTATGATTAAAGGAAGCTATATACCAAATTTGGTGGTCCTAGCTCCTACCTGAAACGGCACCCAGGGCAGTGGAAGGTTCAGCGATGGGGCAGTCCCAGATGCCCCCCTTTCATGTGCCTGGTGATTCTCTCTCTTCTGTATGGTTTCATCAACCACAATCCCATTTTCCTAGCACAACCAAAACCCTTACCCTGCTTTGTTATGATTAAAGGAAGCTATATACCAAATTTGGTGGTCCTAGCTCCTACCGTTTAGGAGGAGTTCTTGAACAGACAGATGGACAGACAGGCAAACTCTCTTTTATCTAACAAGCAGTCCTGTGATACCTTGGGAACTAGCCAATAATATCATGAGCTTTCATAGGTAAAAGCCACAAAAAACTCAGGATATAATATATTGGTTAGTCTCTAAGGCAGTTGGGAGTTTTTTCCTAATTAACTCCCTCTTATTTTGAAACAACGAGGTAAGTGTCCACTCAGCAAGCCTGTTAGTTTGAAATTGTATTGAAATAATGAGCTTGAGGAGGAATAATGAAAAATCCTGCTTATGATGAGGAATAATTCTTATTTTGAACTAGCATTAGTGTGGGCAGGCACTCAGCAGCTGTCATTTTGAAATGACTATTCCCCAGAGTCATTCAAAGTAATTACTCCCCAGTGTTTCCTAGGGCTCTAAGTCAAGGTAGCATGTCCACATTAAGGGAGCCTGCCTTGGACTAATTTCAAGGCTTCCCTGGAATGTGGATGTGCTATTTCAAAATAACCTATTTTGAAACAGTCTTGTAGCGTAAACGTAATGTCAGATACCACAGAACTGCTTGTTGTTTTTAAAGTTACAGACTAACATAGCTACCCCTGGGGAGATTTTCTCTCAACTGCGTAGTAGATAGTGGGATCCAAAGGTCCCAATTGCAAATGAGTCCCCAATGTTATACAATTAGAGAATCTTTGTCCTAAAAGTATAGAACAATAAAAGTGTAAGATTAAATTAGGTAGATTCAAAAGTAGAAGAAAAGTGCTTTTTCTTATATGTATAATTCAGTTATGTAATGCCATTTGGACCAGGTGAATTTCTTAGAAACCTAAAAAAGATTTAAACTAAGTGAGTAAACTCGGCAGTTAAAGGGAAATAGTTTTCAGTTCTCATGCTTCAAGATGTAGATGGCTCCACTAGCAGTGCTCAGACAATTTTATTTATAATATAGAACATAAATACTGCATGAAAGTTTTGCTACCACCTTTGGAGAATCTTAGGCACATTGTGGTACAACATATATTTCAGGTGAAGGTATAAGCTGTCCCTAAGAAAGGTTTGTCTCAATTAGCGTTTAATTCCTGAAGCACATGTTTAAAACACATTTTTTTATCCTAACTAGTTGGACAGTTAAGCTAAGACTATGTGGACACTGCCCAGTTTAGACCATGGAATTGTGAACAGTAATGCCTATCAATGTGCTGTAACTCCTTCTCCTCCATGTGGATGCAGCAAGTGTGAAGAAAAGGTTCCTATTCTGCATGGCTACGTCTAGACTGGCATGATTTTCTGCAAATGCTTTTAACGGAAAAGTTTTCCGTTAAAAGCATTTGTGGAAAAGAGCGTCTAGATTGGGACAGACGCTTTTCCGCAAAAAGTGCTTTTTGCGGAAAAGCGTCCGTGCCAATCTAGACGCTCTTTTGCGCAAAAAAGCCCCGATCGCCATTTTCGCGATCGGGGCTTTTTTGCGCAAAACAAATCTGAGCTGTCTACACTGGCCCTCTTGTGCAAAAGCTTTTGCCCAAAAGGACTTTTGCCCGAACGGGAGCAGCATAGTATTTCCGCAAGAAGCACTGATTTCTTACATGAGATTGTCAGTGTTCTTGCGGAAATTCAAGTGGCCAGTGTAGACAGCTGGCAAGTTTTTCCGCAAAAGCACTTGCTTTTGCGGAATAACTTGCCAGTCTAGACACAGCCCATTAGTATAACCCTGGCTGAAGGGGATTATGTTGGTGCAAAGTAGGAACATTTTAGTGTGCATCCCCAAAGAGGAATTTGAGCATAGCACTTTAACTCATGGTGATATGCACATTTCTCTAATCCACACTGCAGGGTAGTGTGATCAAGCTAATGATTACCTAGCATTTCTAAATTCTGTCAAACTCTTGGCCTCAATATTTTACAGCAATACCTATGCCTTCTTTGGAGCCCATTGAACCATTATTTTCTCTTTCAAATGTAAGCTTAGGTTTTCCTTTCATTGGTTCAAATCAATCATTTTGCCTGTATGAAATGTTTTATAAGGAAACTTTATGTGTCAGAAAACCACACATTCAAAACATAAGGTTAAGTTCAAGTTCCCTCCTACAACAGAAAACAATAAGGAGTTTTGTGGCATCCTAAAGGCTAACAGATTTATTTGGACATATGCTTTCATGGGGGAAAGATCCACTCTGTCAGATGCATTGGACAAAGTGAGTCCTTGTTTTTTGCAGATGCAGACTAATACGGCTACCTCTTTGATACTTCCTTTACCAAATGAATCTTGCAGAACATCGATTACATAGTAAAAGATTTAATGGATTTCCTCCTCCCAATCATGACTGTATAAGGTCCTTGTGCCAACTACCACAGTTACGTAAACAGAAAATACAGTATATATTAGTTGAATTTCAATTTAATGGATGAAAGCAGGGAATATTTAGTAGATAAAAATGGAAAGAACTAGCACCATGAGGCATACCGTCTTTTTAAAAAAAGCAATGTGTTGTACTTAATTTTTTGGTTTTTTATTAGCACAGATTCTAAGTTAATGCACAATGTAAACATCTGGGGTTAATTTATGGTCTCCGTATCGCTCTTGCAAAAAGAAAATGCATATTCTTTAATATTACAGGTTGGACAACTCTGATCCAGCACCCTCGGGACCTGACTAATCCCGGATGAGGGATTTTTCTTGACCAGAGGAGGTCATTTCAGGCTCTCCCTGCAGCCCAGCTGATCCACATGCCAGCTCTCCATCCTTCCCCAGCCCAGCTGAGCCATGCACTGGCTCCTGGCACTCCCCTGCAGCCCAGATGAGCCACGTGACAGCTCCTTGCCCCCCCTCTTTAGTCCAGCTGAACTGTGCCCCTCCCCCTCCCCCCCGCTTCCCCCTTCTGCCAAGCTGGATGCTGGTTTCCTGCTCCACAGCCCAACTAAGCTGTGTGCTGGCTCTCGGTCCCCACCCCCAAGCAGTGCACCAGGACTCTCTGGTCCTGGACCATCCATAGTTATGCCGGATCATGGATGTTGCCGGGCCATAGAATCTGGATTTTAGAGGTGCAACCTGTACTTAATTTAAGGTCTTTCACTTTAGGAATATTAGAACAAAATTCAGTTGCTTCATGCTAACCTGACAGTGTGTAAGTGATCTTACTTTATACTTCTTGATTAGAATACAGAGACAAGAGCTAGTAGAGGCAGTAGTACAAAATGTTTAATTTACATGCAACAATTATAGTGTAGCAAGGCAACAAAATACACATACAATTTTGGCATTTATTTTTGTTCAGATATTTCTGAAAAAATGGACAGCATTTGAGACATTTGTACAATCCAATCAGCTTCCTCATGCACAAAAACTGACATTTACAAACTTATAGTAGTGTGAAATATTACGCACAACTTAAATAATGTGATGAATAAATTTTATAGTAGCTCTGTTGGAGGAGCTATCTATGGACATGACTAAAAATCATGATTATAGTCAAAGAATAGTGATGTATTGGGAGAAGCGTTTAAAACAGCACAAGTTGCTCAAGTTACTATACACAAATCAGTAATGTTAACTTTACAGAATCCTGCTTTCCTCATTGTCTTCATATTAAAATGCAGCTCTCATTTAGAAATTAATAATTAATGAATACCATTCAATGAAACTACTGAACTGCCATGAGAGCAGATTCTTAGTGCAAGAACCAGAAAATTACTTTCTACAGTAATCGCCATTCTGGTAGCTCTTATGAAAGGAGCACTACTGTTTTAATTAAGATTTATTTCAAAGATCATTTGAGTGGGTTTGTTTAATTCTGAAAATGTGTAGTTTCACATGCTTTTATCAAGATGACATTCTTGAATTCTTTGTTTGCAAGAATGGTCAAATTAGATTCTTAATCCCCCCCTTTGAAAAACTACCAGAGCCAAGGGTAATATTACAAGAGGCACAATTCTCTGATAAATAAAAATAATGCAAAGAGTATAGACGTTAGTGTCTGACTAAACAAAAATATTTCTGAAATGATGCTATAATTAAGTAACCCTAGTACTACTGCAGCCACTTATGTAAACAATATTTGAAATTTCTTTGGCACAACGAAGTATTTTTCCCTTAATTAATAAATACAACACATTTACATGCATTTAATTTAAAAAAAATTACTGATAAGCATTATCTTAATAGCAAAATGAATAAAGGACTCCTTACCTTTTACAAAGATGTAAGAGTACAGTTTGCAATTCAAAAATTAATTTGTAAACTTTACAGATGAGAGTTAAATTGGGAAGATGTACATTTTAGTTTCATTTTAAAATGTTTTCAGGTAATTCATACCAGTAGCTTAATTAGAGGCATAGAATTTTAAGGATTCACTTCTGTTTAAGTTTTACTGCACAGCATAATCAAGAAAAATACCCTTTTAGACACTTTCATGAGAGAGAAAAAAATATTAACAATATTGTCATGTAAGTTGTCAGATTTTCATTCTAATTTTTTTTAAACTCCTGGGATGCTTTACAATTGACATGGGGGAGGGAGAGTTTTCCCCCAAAGCTCTGAGGGGATGATGTCACCGTGTTCCCCAACACCACCTTTACATTAACATAAGTCAATAACAAAAACAAGTAATTAGGATGCATCTTCTACCTGCAAAGTTCTTCATTTGGGCCATATAATCATCTGGTGACTAACTTCCCAATCCCTTCTTAAAACTTGAAAGTAATCCTGATTTATAAGATTTGTTATTTTGTCCCATCGTCAAAAACTAGGAATGTATACTATTTCTTTATATGGCCTTATCTGAACATAAAAATCAACTCTTAAGTGGCATAATGATAACAGAAATGCAAGTTTTAGCACTTATCTGTCAGTATTTCAAAACATCCAAAAGGTTAAATAAATTATTTGAGATCCTACATGATAGAATGTATGCAGATTAAAAACATTAAACAAGCAATGTTTTATAATATTCTGAAAACTGGGATTCAGATATTACTTTACTAACCTGTCAAGACTTAAATTCAGGATTCCCTGTCTTTTCTGCAAGTATTGACAAATATGCAGAGCAATGAAAGGAAGTGCTCTGGTTAGAAGAGCCTGAAGAACATAGATCACGACAGTTTAGCAAAAGACTCATTTTCACATATTTCATTCTAAAAGGTTATTTGTTATTAAATCACACACACACACATTCTGTACCTGACTGCAACTCAAACAATTTAAGATCTCAAAGGGTAAGTACATGAAAAAATCCTTTTATAGAAAAACATGATAATTTAACAAGTAATGGATGTAAGTTTTGTGCCTTCTCTTTAAATCAATATGAAAGGGAACCAGATAAAGCAGCATATTCTTTAACTTGCTTGAACTTTTAAGAGTCTTCACAGCAAGTCAAGTTATGGCATGTAAACTGAATGCAACATTACACAAAAGCTCTTCTTTGTTACGTATATCTGCTCAAGATGGAGTTAGACCTGGACTTGTCATCTCTGCTGTAGGACTTGCAAGGTATTCACTTGATTTCAGACTTGTAAGAGATTTATAACTTGCGACAGAAGTCAGAGAGCCACAGAGACCAAGCAATGATGGAGTGTCTTCCTTCCCTGTTAAAAAAGAATTATGTTAGTCACTATTACAGTGCAGTTGCTAATACCAGATTTACCTGAATAGGGGGTAACACTGAAGAAGAGAGGTCAGTATATGTACCAGTTTATAGACTATTCATCCTCAATACAACAAGCACAAATGCAATCACCCCTTTTTAGGGAAACATGTCACTGTGCTCAGCATCTCCTACAACTGTGGATGTCTAGGCAGTTCTCTCTCAACAACTCTGAAGATAATCAGAGTTTTGGTGCTGCACTGCTTGACCAGGCTTCTACTGCTTTCTGCCTCTGCAACACCAGATAATGGTTTCTTTTGCTTCTACCCTGGCTCTTTTTAATAGTTTACCCAATGTTTTGGGCAGTGGAGAACAGTATTCTTCCTTCTCAGCATTCCTCCTACTCTTCTCTGGGTTGATTAACCCCTCAGCGGGAGAGGGATTTGAGTGTCCACTGCAATGTGTGTGCCAGCACCTGTGACCCACAAGGGCATAGCAAAGAAGCAAGAAAGCACCAGGTCAAATCTGAAAGGTGCTGTGATGCAGCCTTCCCAGAGTTGGCAGAAGGTGAGCTGGGCCTACCCTGTAACCTAGGGGTAAAAGTCCAACAGGCAAGTGGGGTTCCAATGTGGAAACACTGTACACAGCAGGGAGCAGCTCTTTAAAAGTGAAGACCCTGATAAGCCCTAGGGTGCCCCTGCAGAAGAAGAAAGGCATCCCAAAAGACGTAAAGTGATTCTGAGCACCACAGAAAAAAAGCAGGATATCTAAACCAGCCCCCTTCCCTTCGAAGCAGATCAGAAGGACTCTTATGACATGTCGAGAGAAATATGACCTAGTAAGGGTAGACTCAATCATCTCTGAAGAAGGCTCCAGGCCCTAAGGAAGCCATAAAAGCCCTCACCAAAGCTACTGCAGAGGTTATATACTTCCAAAGCACACCAACAAGATTTAGAAATACTAAAGGGAAAGACAACAGAAATCCAGAAGATGACAGTCCTCCTGTTCCTCCCAGTCCTAAACTGAGGAAAGCAAGCTGTCTGTGTCTGAAATATGAGCAAATTCCTGTAAGTCTCGGAATAAATGTTTTCCTTCAAAATCCTCCCTACAACCCCACTTCACTCCTTTTTGAGGAACTGATTAGGGAAAAAATGGAATAAGCATGATAATGGCAGGCAGATTAACAAGTGCAACCTCAGGCTCTAACATTCAAGAACAGAAGGTCTCTATTGCTGAGACACCAAAGGTTGACACCTCTGTCAACCTTTGCCAAGAATATGATCATTCCCTGGAAAGGAAAGTTTACCATAATGATTCCCAGGATAGAAAGATGGAGGCCAGTCACAAAAGGGTCTCTAAAGCCACCTCCACCACCTTCTGAGTGTTCCAGGAAGATACATGCTTTGCAGAAGCATCTCTTTCCTGGCTGGAACATCTGTCCTTAAGGCTATGAGATGACCCTGACGTTAGTTCAACTTTCAAGAATCTTCCCAGAAACAGTGTTTGTAGCTGATACCACATTTGATGCAGTGGGGTTCTCAGACCAAGCCATGCCTTCCAGTTCAGTCACCAGGCATCCTTACAGCTCCAACTCTCAGAGGTGGCTACTCACTTTAAGCAGGTCCTGTGCTCAGCCAAGTTTACAGGAGCCATCATTTTTGGAGAAAAACTGATTAAGATGGTGGCTATCAAGGTGGAAAAAACCAAACAGACTCCTTTTCCCACTAAATGGCCTCAGAACAGAATACAGACTGGCCTTTGGACAGAGACATTCCTTTTCCTTCTCATCCTCTCAAAGATACCAGCAAAGGGACAACAGATTCATTGAGGGAACTACCGGAATCAAAGTACCAGAGGAAATTCTAGTGGAATCTCTGTCATAAAATTGGATTTGGGAGGAATGGGGACTAAGACTGCGTAGGATCCACTCAGAATGATTTTCACTGACCACAGACAAGTTGATGAGGGAAATACTGAACCAGAGATAACCCCTTATGCTGCAGGCTCCAACCATTCATTCTTCTTTCAGTCACTCAGCTCCAGTTGCCCTGTAAATCACGGTGTGATCCAGAACAAATATCTTTTGATTATGGGAATGACAGAGTGGGTTTCCTCAGAAGAAAGATTTTCTGGATTCTACTTCTTCTTCATTGTGCAGCAGCAAATGCGGAATATCAGAGCCATTATCAACCTTAAAAAGGAACAAGTAGAGGAAGGAAAAGTTTTGGAAGAAAATTCCAGTATCATACCTGGAAAGGACTTCTAGACTTCAGTGGATCCAGTGGATACACATCTCCATATTCCCCAACAGACTGTGCCTCCACAGATTTCTGTAGTTTTCAGAAAACAGGAAACGTTGGCAATATTGAACACTCTTATTTGGTCTGTCCTCAGCACCCAGAGTTTTTCCAAAAATGTTGATTGTGATGATAGATTTAGGTCACAAGAAATTCATCTGTATCCTTCCCTGGACAACATTCTGCTCAAACTCCATCTTGAATGTGAAACCTTCTTCAGGACGAGCTTCATCAATGCCAAGAAAAGTTTGACTCAGGAATTTTTTTTCTTGCTGCCAAGCCACCCAGAGACCTATTATAGCACTATGCCTCCAACTGCTAAGATTTGTAGTGTTGTGCATATGGATCACCATGGGCATAATCATGCAATCAGAAGTATAAGCTTTCATACTGGAGGAGTGGGATCACATCATGGAACACAAGAAAAATCAAGTATAGGTTCCAGGACAGGTGGTCAGCCTTTACATCTGCCTTCCAGATCCTTTAGTCCAAGCGGCCAATGCCAGCTTGTACAGATGGGAAGCTGGTTTGTAGAACCAAGCAGCCCAAGGTCTATGGAACCAAGAGGAAAAGACTCAGCAAAATCTAGATTGAACCACAACGTAGTTCCCCCTTTCAATAAGATGATACAATCACATATTTAAAAAACCAAGGGGGAAACGGGGAGTCCAGTGCTACTGTAGCAGCAGTGGAAACAATGAGATGGGGAGAACAGTTCCTCCTTTCCCTCAAACTGATCCACAACAAAGATGATCTGAATCCAAAATTCAGGCTGGCTTGGGAGGCTCAAGCGCAACAGTTTTGAGCAATGCCTGTAAATCAATTGATTCAATCTCATAATTCACATCTTCCGTTTCCCACCAGCCAACTTGTCTGTGAATTGTTTAAAGGCAAAAAGGCCAAAATATTTCTCAAGCTCCCCGTAAAACAATCCACAGGTAGCAGATTTCTTTGAGCAGCCTGGTTCGGCAGACTGACTTGCCACTCTTCCCAAAATGGGGTCTTTCGCTATTTTGAGGGCTTTGTCAAGCCATTCCTTTGAGCCTCTGACTTCAGTCTTGGCCTTTTATTTATCCATTAAGAGTTGTTTCTTATTAGCTGTCATATCTACAGGGCAAGCATCAGAGCTGGCAGTCTTATCTATACAAGAGCCTTACATCATGCCCTACAAAATAAATGTGGTACTTAGAACACCAGAATCCTTTCTTCTTAAGGTAAATTTCTCCTTCCTTGCCTCCCTTCCCCTTCATTCTGTCCAAATCTACAACTGTGGCACTTAGAGATCAGAGGAGTGTTGAAAATGTCTCCCAGTCACACAAAAATATACAAGAAGATTTGGCTCCTTATTCTTGCTCTCTCACCCAAAATACCATGGACTCAGAGTTTCTAAGTCCTCTGTTGTTCAGTGGATTAGAATATTGTGGAAGCCTATAAGTAATGAGAGGTTTCTGTCTCAGAATGGATCGAGCACACTTCAAGATCTTTACCAATCTCCTGGGTGGAATGAGAAAGTGTGTCCACTTTGGAAATTTGCAAAACATCCAGCTAGTCTACAGCTAAGACTTTCCTTAAGTACAAGTAGATGAAATTTCTTTTGCAGAGGCTTCCTTTGGCAGGGAAGTGCTGCACACAGTGGCTAAAATAAACTTTTGAGCCAGCTCACCAAAGAATGCCAAACTTTTGTTTTATGTCCCTCCTATATCTATCACTGCTCACTACTTCCCAGACACCCGGAATGTGGGAGACACTGAACTCCAGAATGTAAAATTTCTTATTGATAATTTCTTTTCTATTAACAGTGTCTCCTACTTTTCTACACACCCTGGATAATATTTGAACCCCAACTCATAAGTTAAGAGAAATTGTTACTATACAACTGTCTTGCGCTAATGTATGTAGCTATTTTGTTATCTGTGGAATATTTGTTTATGATAGTATGCAGGTTTAACAGACTGGGAATAACTCATCTAGCAGCAAAAAGAACTAGTGAAGTGTAGCCAGATCATACAACACCAAAATTCTGATTCCATCTCCAGGAGCTGCAGCAAGAGAAGAGCAGCCCAGATGTCCAGAATTGTGGAAGGCACTGCTAACAGAAAGGAAATTATTAGTTAAAAAATCTCTCTTTAGGCTTGAACCAGACATCAGCATTAACATTACCAGAACTATGCTATGACCAGAGATTCAATGCTTTTAAGCTTTGTTGGAAACCACCCTCCTACACACACGCACATTGGAATAAGGAATAGTAATAGAGATGTAGCCATGGTAGTCTAGTCTACCTGAAACAAAAAACAGGACTATGTAGCACTTTAAAGACTAACAAGATGGTTTATTAGATGATGAGCTTTCGGCTCCTCACCTAATAAACCATCTTGTTAGTCTTTAAAGTGCTACATAGTCCTGTTTTGTGTTTTATTGGAATAAGGAAGTACTGTTACTGAAGATAAAGAGGCTTTGTTTTACATCCTTCTTGAGAATTCCTCATAAATTATACTGGATCTATCCTGGCAGTACAAGGTTCCCATACTCTCTCAAACATGCAGCCTGGAGGTATCATCTCCACACGAGGCTATGTCAGGCTACAAGTCAATGTTACCCATGACCTTCCTCCCTGCCAACGGTGGAGCTAATTAGTGCCAGTTATGGTAGTGCATTTTATGACAGACAGTGAAATCACCTTATTTCCACAGGCCACCAAAGA